CAGTGGAATATTTCCAAACAAGCTAGGTAACTGACCTGAAATGCTGTGGAATTTCCATGTTTCTGGCTCTTCCCTTGGGTTTAGCCTTAAATCTAATCATTCTGACATCTGAAATACCTAGTTGACTCTGCTTCCTCAGCACTATATACTAGACTGCTCAAGAGATGTGATATAGATATTGCAGATCAGAGACAGGGTTAGAAATGTGTCTTTATGCTTCTTCCATATTGCCAAGATGTAGGGTTTCTGCAGGGACTGAAAAAGCCTGTGTGTGAACAATGCTGGAGGCTTCTTTGCTAATGGCCGTACGTTTTGACCTATGAGCACTATCTCATGATGATTTTTTTGTAGAATAGCATGAAGCTGCTACAAAAGTGTGTCTGGATAGTTCTTTTTCATCCAAATTTCACATTTCTAAACCTTATACATCACTAGGTGTCTGGGAAATTATATAGATCTTCCTCAGAATTTGTAAATCATGAGGTCCTCTGTAGTATATATTTTCATCATTAATCTTTTGGTTTGGTGAGAGCTTCCAGTGATCCAGATGTGGTCAAAAGTTTAGTCATCAAGTCCCAAACGTTTGCTAGTTAATCTTTTCTCTCTTATCTGTGATCATGCTCTGGATGACATCCAGTGGTATATTTAGTACAACTGCAACAGATGAGCTTTTCATACCAAGAAAAAGGCTAATAAAAAAAAGTCTTTTCCAAGCCAGTGCATATATTGGCATTGCAGCCCCCACTGACTTGCATAGTGTTTCTATATATTTTATTTGCATGGAATGATTTTCTCTCTGGGAACTAATTAAAGGGAGGAAGTCTCCAGAAATCCTTCCAGCAGGAAACAGATTAAGACGAAATGGGATATAAGGAGCAGCAAAAACTGAAATGGTGCTACCATTTAGGTGATTGTAATCTAAGTTGCCTTTGTTTCTCCTATCACATCCTCCACATTTGGCATGAAATTATGTAAACGGGCCTGGAAAAGCAGAATATTTAAGCAGAAATTACCTTGCTCTGGGAACTGCCTCTTCACAGCCAATGAATCTGTTTTGAAACTCTTAAACAGGTGTATTAGGTCATATCTGTTGACTTTGCATCTTGCAACATTGATTCATCACCTGAAATACTTTGGAAATCACCTTGCAGACAAGGTCTCTCCTCACTTGGTCCACCGAATGTAATTTAAATTTTCCATTTAGAAATCTTTGGTTGCATCAGCTCTGTAGCTCTGCATTGCCAGAGCAGAGCTGAAGTTGACAGTAACTTCAGTGATGGTTCTGCTCATGCCACTGAGAATATAATTCCGTTCTCAAGATATCGTCTGCATCAAAACCAAGATACAATGCATTGAGTCAGCTGGAATCCTCTCCCTATTCTGGTTTCAGGTGAAATTTGAAAGCACCAGTGTGTATTCAGCTTCAAATCTTCGATGCTGAATGTACTGAAAGAACTTCTAGTGAAATTTATGACAGATTTTACTTTTGAGTCTTGATAGAGCCACTTTTCATGTTGTGGAAGTAAAAAACTTTTGAAGAGGATAAGAAGCAGAAGACTTGGTGAGAAATATATTTTAAAAGAGGCAAATTCCTATTAGAATTGAAGTTTCTTCATTATTATTCAGAAGGTAGTTTATTCATTTTTGCTTGGCTTACTAAAGATATCACCACACACGTCTAAGTTATTGCAGAACCAGCAGCATTCTGAGAACAYTTAAAATGGTTCTTTTCAAAAGCAATAGCTTCAAGATGATCGATTTCAGAAATCTGCTCTGTTCTGGGACAGAGTATGTTTGCCAGTGAGTAAGAGAGGGAACATTTCAACTAAAGAAAGATTGGTGCAAATTGCACTATTATCTGGTAAATTAAGTAAATTACTCTTTTATCTAGTAAAATAAAAGCTCACAGTGCCTTCAAGGAATAGTTAAGCCCATTCTAGAGCAACACACTAATGCCTTTGTGCTCCAAACATAAAAGTTTTTTACACATAGATATAACCAACCAATTAATACCTTTCTTGTTACAATAAGGCAGCTGAACTTACAGCTGTTCACCAGTTCAGATGTATGGCTTTTAAAGTGTTGGTGGTGTGTGTCTTAATAAATGCTTTACAAATATTTGTGATCATTTTAGAGATACAATTAATTATAAAGTATAGAGAGCTGTGTTCTTTCATTTCTTTGGGTAATTTTTTTTTTTAATTTGGCAAGAGATGAAAATAAATTGTTATTTTCTTTTGCTAGGAACTGGAAAAATTTTGTACTTGTTTAAATTACATACATACTTTTATCTTACTTTTCAGTAGTTTGCCTATATTGCCCCAAAATGTTTTGATCAAATATAGACTCAAAACCACTGTTCAAAACCAGTGATGATTTTTAATGAAAAGGAAGTTTGAGCAAGGCTCCAGGTACAGAATTCAGCAGCTTTAATGCTATTTCTGAGTCTTAGCTAGTTAGGGGAAATGACTGAAAGGATTATGAAATAACGAACCAGTTCTCTGCTATCAAAGATCTTTAAAAACTCTTGACAGCACATTTACGCTCACCCCTGTGCTGTCTAGCAAGAAAGATGGAAAATTTTGTTTGAAATAGTAACATTTCAGGCAAAGAACAATGTTTCTGGAAGTCACATCTGAACCTGGGCTATGGATTTCCCACTTCCAGTTTAGAGGAAGAGTAATGAAAAATGTGCTTTCCTTTGGGCAGAAAAATGTGGTATTTGGAGCTTCCAAAAAGCAGTCAGGCTACCCTAATTTATATTATTGGCAAGAGTCGGAATCRTGACACCTGCAATAAGTAAGCTCTGTATGTGATATTGGGCAGTATGTCATAAATCATGAGGTTTGCCAGCTCCTTGACAGAAAAGAAAATCCTGCATATAAACTTAGACCCACACAAGTGGTTCCTGGATCTAGGGGCTWGTGGATCATACCTTCTGATCCACCTTCAACACCTTGCCAATATTACACCCTGCTAGTGCTCTTCTCTTGGGAAAACCTCTTTATGGCTTTGACAGGAAAGGTTCAGAAGTCTGTTTTTTTAATGAAGAAAGTGTAGCAGTAAACTGCCAATCTACTTCATTCTTGTATGAATGTAGTATATCAGATTAAAAGGAATGTCAGCCAATGTTTTCAAAATAGTATTTCTCTACTTAGGTGCTTTAAATTAAATTGACATGTGTGAAAAAAATTGATCTGCCTTTCAGGAGAACTTGGCAAATCAATTTTCAGCTGAATGTTCCCTCCTTGTACTGTGTCTGGCTGGGATAGTGTTAACTTTATAGTGGCCTGGATGATCCCTTGGTTTGGATTTGTGACTAAACAAGCCTTGATAATACACCGATGTTTCGGCTCTTGCAAAGTAGTGCTTGAGCAGTGTCAGGGCTTTCTCTTTTTGGGAGGGGACATGGCTTGGACAGCTGACCTGAGCTGTCCAAAGGGATAGATATAACAGTCTATATAACATCATGTGCAGCAATAAAAACTGGGGTAGAGAAAGAAGAGGCTTTGGCTTCTGAGGTGGCTCTTTGTTTGGAGACTGGCGGGGCATCAGTCTACCTGTGAGAAGTAGTGAGAAATTTCCTTCTATTTGCTGTTTTAGTTTTTGGGATCTCTTCCTTCCCCTTATTAAACTGTCTGTATTTTGATGCAGAGATTTTCTTGCTTTTGTTCTTCTGTTTTCTTCCCTCACCCTGCTGGGGTGGGTGGGGGTGAGCAGCTGCGTGAGTGCTTGGATACTGGCAGGAGACAAGCCACCACACACCTGTACACTCAGGTATTGACTTTTTCACCAGATTGAGAAAGTTGCAGTGAATTTTATTTGTAGCCCTGCAATTAAGGAAATGTTTGATAGCCTCTTATTGTGACAATAATGAGAGATTTATTCTCCTTATGCAACTAATTTGCTTAAGGAGCAGTTGACTTTATTTTTAAATTCTAAGAGGCAAAATATTTTTTCCTAAGTTAAGTATATATTTATTTGAGAATGATCTTGAATGTTCACTGTGCATTGAAATCGAAAACTTTGTATCTTCCTTCCCAGATTGAATGTATTAGTAGCACATCCACTTACCAGTGTTTCACTCTACTAATCCAGGGCTTTCATTAGTAAAAGTACCTTAATGTKCACAATTTATGGCCAGTTTGCTTTAATGTGGACATAGAGTTTAGGGATGCTCTTAAACCTCATTTGTTGGAAGAAAACTGAAACAAGGACAAGCTGGAATACGCTGGACAAGCGTATTTCAAAGATTTCTCTGTAAGGAGAATAGGAATTCAGCCCAAATTGAGACATATGAACTATTTTATTTGGTAGATTAACTTGGAGAATTTTCAGATTTAAATCTGAGTTTGTCCTGCTGTATATAAGGCATACCCTGATGTGGTATCCAAAAGAAAAAAAAAAGTTAAAAAAAAGAGACTTCAATGAAGAGTCTTCCACTAATAGTTCAACCAATGATTTATAATTCTGAAGACAGATTAATTTCTTGTGGTCCAAAGTGTTCTCCAACTGTGTTTTCTTATTATGTTTTTTCTCTCTTTTTATATATTCATTTGCTTATTTTTCTTTGTGTGAGAAAGCTTTTTGTTTGTTAATCATCTGTTTCTGAGCACAATAAGCACAAAGCAGTGTACTGCATCAAAGTGTGGCATGCATTAGAGTATGGATTTAACTAAAGCAAACAAATCTTATGCTGTGAATGCAGGAAGGCACCACAATGTTTTTACAAGCTTTGCAGATCTGAATAATTAAGATATAGGAGATTGAGTAAATAATTTGCCAACTCTCCTAAGCTGAAATATATCCACAGAGAAAACAAAAAGCCAAGAAAGCTGCCTTTCATCGCCTTTTATATTGAAATTATTCCTTCTGCAAATGTCTTTGTTGTACCAAAGCATCACCAGGTTCACGATGGTTGTACAGACCTTGCTAGCTGTGCTTAAGGGGATTTTTTTGTATAAGCATCTAGCAAGTGTGTGAGCAACAGGGAGTGCATGATGACAGGAGGAAAGGAAAAAGAGAAAACCCCTCACCATGAGAGGAAATCATTTGCTCATGGTGTGTTGTTCCTGATGAGGATTGTGGTTAGTGGTGGCACGTCAGAGTTTTGGTGGACCGATCTTACTTTACAAAGTGAGATAAAAAGGGAAGGGTGGGATACTTGAATGTATAATCACTATGCTTTAGGACAGCTTTCCCAAATGTAAAGTTATGTAAGCACAGAGATTAGATGGCTGAATTCCTTTAAAAAGTCGTTGCAAAAAATGGCACACTAAAATTAGGCATGAAAAAGCATTGAAAGGAGCAAAAATAATGTTGCTTAAGCACCTTCGAAATTATTTTTTTCATCTTCTTCAAAGGAAGACTGATAGAGTTCTACTGTATGTTACATGTTTCATTTTGAAACTACTGTACTTCAGTTAAAGCTTATTTAATGCTAATTATTCATTCTTACCGGTTCATGTTTAGTTTAATGATTATGAAATTTCATTTGTAAAAACTCAGTCACTTGATTTTAGCCATCTTTAGCCATCCTTGTTTAATGCGAGAGGTAAATATCATATAGGAAACTTGTAAAAAGCTACTTGTTAAGTTTCTTTTAGTGTTACTGAAATAAAATAAAAAAATACTGGTCCATTAAGGTATGCATACATACACACATTCATTATATGTATATAAAGGTTTTAAAGCAAATACAATTTAGAATTCTAAAGCTGAAAAAGTATGTTTTCATGTATGTATACAAAGATTTAACTTTATCTATGATTTTGAGCTATTCTTTTAAAATGGGAATGAATTCTGTTTGTAGATATCATTTTATTTCAATTTGTTTTTGTGGAAGCAAATATAATTTGTCMTTGTATTGGCAGAAAGACAAGTTCTCAAATGGCAGGATTCTTGGGGATTGGGAGTATTGTTTCTTGATGCCTGAGCTTTATTTTAGCAATCTGACTTTTCCTAAATATATTCCACAGATATTGATATTACCTGTCATATTTATTACAGTTTTTCTACATTGACTATATATTAAAGATATTGAAATGCAGAGCATATCAATAAATAACTAAACATTGAATCTGAGGCATCTGTTTTTTTGGTTGGTTAGTTTGGGGAAGTTTTGTTTGTTTTTGTGTTGGTTTTGTTTGAGTTTGGGCGGTTTGGGTGTTTTTTTTGTTGTTGTTTTGGGGGTTTTTTGTTTGTTTGGTTTTTGTTCTTTTTTTTTTTTTTTTTTTTTTTTTTTTTTTTTTGGTTTTGGTTTTTCTTCCTTTCCCTGGCTATACAGTCTGAAGTATATTACATCAGTTATCTCCTGTGGTCTCATGTTCATGCACTCCATTGCAGGTCAGTTCCTCCTAGAAGAATCCCGCCTGATCGAAGCAGCTGAAATGGCAAAAAAAGCAGCTGAACTTGATAATACGGAGTTTGATGTTGTTTTCAATGCAGCCCATATGCTCAGGTTAGTGCTTTTACATCTACCTCACTTGATTTTTCTCTTCATTTGGAGGAAAAAAGTCTTTATAGCCTTCGCTTTTTAAAGCCCAGCAACTCTTTTGAATAATTCAATATTATTGCTAATAAGATACAAAGAAGTAGAATGAAATTGTTGTGGCATGTATCACTTTCCATTTCTAAAATTCTAAGTATTTTGTCTTAATTTCTTACCTTCAAAGGTTCTGTTCACAAGCAGGTAATCCATTTTGCTTGCATATGAGAATAAGTGTTTCTTTGTGAAGAACCTTCTGCAGGATCTCTTTTCACCTGATTTTTCAAATTTTAGTGTGCATAGCAACTGAAAAGAGGAGACCATATTTCTTATTTGGATGCAAATAAAGAATATTGAAAATTTCTATTAATATCAGTAGGGAACACTATGATAATTAGAAATCTAAATATTCCCAGACTATAATGACTTCGAGAGTCATAGGAGCACTCAATGGTATTCTCAGAATCTGTGATTTAAAATGTGGTCTTATATTTAATTCTGTACACTCTGAATAGAATAAAACTTTAGACTTCTATTTTAGCTTTTAAAGCTGTGAGATCTGGTTATTCAGTAGCATTAATTTCTGTCTGTGAGTTTAACATTCACATTACTGTAATGGGTATCCTCCATGCTTATTTCTAGGATAACTATCTAATTATTGTTGATTGTCCACTTAACAGCTATAAGGATACTTGATTTCATTTAGATGGTATCTAAGCATAGAAAATGCATGAAAAAGGAAATCAAATAAATATACTTCATTAGCATGAAACAGTTCTTGTGATAATTTCTCTGATGAAGATACCTTACTAGGCTGCTTTATGCTTCTATCATTTTAAATTAAAAATGAAAGAAAAAGAAAATAGTATAAAAGATAAGGTAGAATCAGCTTCAGGCAABTGACCTGTGTTTCAGAATTATGCTTTCTATACCATGATTTTGAAATAAGCTCCCAAACACCTTTCTAAAAATAACTCTTAACTGCTTGTAGATTAGAAAAGAAACCAAGACAAATGACTCATTGATAAATAATAGATTGACCTGACAGAGGTGTATGAGCTATTTTAAGGATCCTTCCCTTCCTCATGATTATGTTGTGAATGATATCTCTCAAGATATAATTCAGTAATTTGAAACATTTAGATTAATATTACGAATTCACAGACAGAAGCATAGCAAGATAGGCATGACAGGTGAATTTAGAAAGGAGGGGTCAGATTCCTGGTTTTAGTGAGTGTTGTAGAAGATGATTTAGTGGTTTGATTGTGTATATTTTAAAATGTGCTGGTGTCGATCAATACTATTTTAGAAATAGGTTTAATAAATCCCCTGCTTTCTTTGTGAGCACTGAGTTAAGCATTCTAGGTATTTCAGGGACATGTATTTACATCTGCATATGAGTATTTTTTCACTTTTAAAGTAACAGCTATGCTGCTGTGCTGTCCATCAACCGTGGTTATCCTGCTTGATCTGGTTGGGAATGGAATGGTTTTGGGAGGCCTTGACAAGCAATGAGTTCAGTGATTCTTAGCTGGATTCTTGATTTTTACTGTAAGTGAAAAACCAAAACCTTTAAAAACAAAGAAAATGTCCCAAACTGAAACCCTTAAAAAAAAATAGAAGGGAGCCTGCTTTAGTTTAATTAGAGTCCAGTGTACTCCTTTAGGATACCCAGCTGATCTAATTTTTCACTTAAATACTCAGCTCTCTCTGTGGAAGATTATATAGTCTTCCTAATACTCTCAGAGATTCTAAAATGGTCTGGCAGATTTAGGAAAAGTCAGGGTGGCAAAGTTGAATTCAGTGCTGACAAGTATTTGCTTAAAGTTCCATGTGTTAGCATCTGACTGATTTTTGCTAAAAGGTTAGGGTTTTGTTGTCTGTCCTTGTTCACTGCTTTACTTAGCAATTGAGTCAAATATATTGCTTCCATAATACTTGTTGGACAAGGGCAATGTATATTCATTCATTGTAACAGAGCAGCTGCAAATCCACCGTGAGTCTGGCTCTACAGAAGCAGATGATTTTTAGAATCTTTAGGACAATGGAGTGCTGAGGTGAATCCAAGAGGAAAACAGAAACCAAGACACAGAGGAGGATGGAAAGAAGGGASAGTACTCCAACTGGCACAGAGTGACACAGCTAGAAACTGAAGAGTGAAGGCAGTTGTAAATGAAAGGCTGACATAGTTTCATGTAGATGACCAACTGCTCTTTAGATACCCTGGAGAGCTATAAAAACTGACTGGTAAGTAAGAATTTTGAATGAATTGCACAGCTGTGATATAGAAAATACATTAGAGAAGTTCACAGAGCATGAAAATTAAATGACTCTTGTGAGAGAGATGGGATAACTATGTGGTAGTTATTAAGTTTTTTTCTAAATGACTTCTGTAGCATCCTGTTAATGCAACGTGAGATGATTCAAATAATCTGTGAGGGTGAGATATGGGATAAAGGCAATTAATTTCTTTGCAACAGTCTGGTAACTTTTAACTTGCACAGTAGTTGCCTGTAAAATTCATTTTCTCAGGAAATTTGTTTTCCAGACAGCTTTCTTAAAGGATCATGCCGCTGTTTAGATGGTTCTTGAGACAGTATCTGGTGATGTGTTTTATGTTTGTAGTATGCAGGCTGCGGTGGCTGGAGCTACAGTGTTAACAAGGTCTGAGCTCACTTTGCTGCAGTGTTAACAGGGTCTGAGCTCACTTTGCTCTTGCAGGCTGGGGGAGCTGCCAGCAGCCTGGTTTGCTGTGGGCTTGAGAGGGATTGCTTTTAGAATGAGGGATGGCAACCTGGTGGCACTGACATACTAATTGGAAACAGGAAAAGCTTCACCTTGTCTCCACATGAAAACAAATTTAGGAAGAAGACCTATTTGTTTAAAAGCACATTCTGTAAGAAAAACTAGTTTTCCCATGCTTTTGTAAGTGATTGTTTTGGGAAAATCTCATATGACATGAAGTTTCAACATGTTTATGGGCTGTTTGGAAACAGAAGTCTAAATTAGAGCAATACTGCATGATATGGTCTTCATTTTTCAGTGAATTTCTGCAAGAGTATTTTGGCTCTCCACAGTACACTGACCAGACATGGAGTGTAATTGCTGATACAGTATCATAGGCACAACTTAACCCTATATTCTTGTCTGAATGGATTATATTAATTTTTTAATTACTATCTATGTGCTTAGGTATGTATGTCTATATGGCAAAGCATATAGTCTACATAAATTTTAAAAAAAGTGGATGAAAGGTTACACATATAAAACCTGATTAAAATGTTGTTGTTACACAAAAAGCTCCATTAAGAATGCCATGTATCAGCATTTACTATTTTAAAATAGGAATTGCTGAAAAAAGTCTTTGTAGGTGGGCTGACACCCATGATTTTACTGTAAAAATCAACAGTCTGAATCCTTGTACCAAGGAATAGGCAGGTTAAAACTAGCCCTTTCCCACTCACATATATCTAAACCAGTCAACATTGGTGGTGCTTTTCTCTTACAACAGTATTTTTTTTTTTTCCAGTAAACAATGTGAAAATTCAAAATGAATGTAAACTGATTATAGGTAGGTGTCAGGAGAATCTAAGGGTGATGTGTTGACAAGCACATTTATGAGGTGTCACTGTCAGTCAGCTGGAACTAAATATGGGGAATTGGTTGCTCTAGAAGCTCATGCTAAGAAATATGAGAATAAAAAGCAGAAATATTTTTTCCCTTACAATGGATCCTGGTTGTTAGTGGGGAAAATCAGGTGCATTTTCAGGGTCAGTCCTCATAAAAAGATTTAGGATAGAGATTAAAATATCACTCATAACTATGAAAAAGACTCTCTTCTGAACTTCTCTTTTCTCCCTTTCATTCCTCTCTGTTTTACAGTCAACATTTTATCTAATATTTTACTCTAATGTTAGTTACGTTACTTTATTAATAGTGTCCTGCCATTATCTGACATTGATCCAGATCTCTTTACTGCACAGTGGCATAGGGTTACTGCAATTTCCTACCTCTGTGCCTTTTTCTCAAGGGAAAGCTGTTTTAGAGCTTAACATAATTATTTCTAGCTTAGATTTGCAGTGAAAATGGGAACCAGAATTCTGCCGCACCTTAACTAAAGGAACACTTGCTGAATGCCCCAAAAAAGGAGCTGTCGTTTTTCTGACCAGGTTGCTGTGTGGTGCATTCATTTCTATAAACTGTTTTTAATGGAGAACTGTTCATTCAAACTGATTTCAATTTAGCAATTAATGATCCATGTTTCAGCATGTACACGTGGCAGGAAAGCAAGCCATGTATTTCCACTGGGCTAAAAGGGGGACAGGATTTTAATGTGTTCYACACTCATGTGCCAGCAACTCTTTTTGAAGGTGAAGTATATAATTTGTATTTGCCTCTTGGGTAAGACACCTTGTTTATTGTATGTTATTTCACTTCTTTCAGACGTGATTTGTGTCCTGATAGTTTTGTGCAAACAGGGGGGAAAAAAAGCTCTGTAACATGTTTCATTTTATAGTGCCTTGTTGTAAATCCTGAAATTCTTAAGTATGAGATTTTTTTTTGCAGTCATTTGAAGTGCTACTGATGCCTAGCAGGAGTGATTCAGAAGCAGGTTGAATTAATATTTTTAGACATTCAATCATTTCTAACCACTGCAACCGCTGAGTCAATGACATGTGTGCAAAGTAATTTAAAACAGTTAACAGGTATAAACCAGGTTCTACTTAGAAAATTGTTAGTCATGAAGTGGTTTCAGTTTGCACAGGAATTATGTGAGAAACTTCAAAGGGATTATACTTTCTTCCTTTCTTCTCCCAAGGCCAATAGCTGTCAAAATGTGTTGATTTGGATTAATTGCCTATCATGTGTTACGTGGCTAATGTTTAAAATTTGGGTGAATAAAAACAAAACTAGAACATAATTTGTTAACAAAGCATGTAAAGGCTCATGTGATAAACAAGGTAAAATCTCCAGATACAAGTGCTCAGTTGATTGATACTTTTTGAACTAGTAACGGTTCTTAAAAGCAGAAATAAAAAGGAAAAAGAAATCAAAGAGCCAATTTGACACGTCTTATCCTTGTTTTCTAATGTTTCCATTTTGTATCACAGAAATGCATCAAACACAAATACATTGCAGATCTCCTGTCCTAACTCTCCTATGAAAGGACTTAACTCATTGTAGGAAAATAGCAAATAATTTTACTAGAAGATATGTAGCCTGCCTGAGAGTTCTGCTTGGTTGTTCTTACAGATTTACCATCTCTCTCGTGACATGTATGTGATCAAATGATATTCATTGGACCAGTAGCCAAAATGAATAGTTGAGGGAAAATTAAGAATGTGGGGACGAAAGGGGAAGAGAGGAATTTGAGACAAGAGATTAAAAGGGCCTGTTGAGACAAAAACATGTTTGGATTTCTTTGGCAACATGCTGCATTTTTGTTTGAGGACTAAAAACTCAGGAGAAGAAATAAAAGCTAAACTACTAGGAGCGTGTAGACGGTCTCAACAGTAGTAAGAAGAAGAAAAAGTGTTGAGCTGAAATTGCCTCAGGCACCCAGAAACTCATCTTATTCTCTTGGGTTATAAGGATTTAAATCCCGTCACAGAATGATGTGAGTAAATGTTGAAATCAGAACTCTTTCCTCAATCATGGAAACTTTGCTTTCAGAAATCTATGTTCTCTGACTTTTTTTTCCTTTTCTTACTGGAATTATAGTTGTTTTGGCAAGGTGTAAAGCGAGAAACTACATTCCTGTATATGATGCAGTTTCAGAATTTAAAGTATGTCTGATTACAAAAAATGAACCACATTTTCTTCTGTTGAAGACTGGTATGTCTCTGTTTTTGCCTGAGATGAGTGTTCAGCCTTCTGTATTTCTTTCAATTGTGTGCTAATATCACTTCAGAACTAAAAAGAAAATGAAGTAGGCAAAGAGGATTTGTGCTAATGGAAATTGTGAGCTATAAGAAAACTTTTAGATTTATGTATTTTGTGCATTTGTTAGGGGAGTGTCTTTAACCAGCAAGGAGTAGTTGCAGCATTTGGGTTTTAACTATGCTTCTTTAGGTACGATTTCCTTTCAACCCAAGAAATGTGAGGTGTAACTCTGTTCTTTTCTCTCCTGATAGACAAGCCAGTCTTAATGAAGAGGCCGAGAAGTATTATGAAATGGCAGCAGGATTAAGACCTAATGTAAGTACCTTCTTAATGATATCCATTAATTAAGTTGATGAATGTGCTGCAATACTGAATCCTTTGTGTTGAGGAGAACTTCTTGCTGGAGCATTTGATCCCTCAGCCTGTGTTACATGTGTTCTTTTAATGGTTAAATATTGGGTAGTCAGACAAAGCTGTTCATTTGTCAAACCAGTCACTGTACTTTCAAGTTGCCTCAGCGAAGTTRTCTAGCCATAAGTCTTACTTGGCTGATGTACTTGGAAAACACTTCTCGATTTAGATTTATTTATCTACGTTTAAATGTGTTAAGTTTGAAAAACTTTTCCAATTCCATCTCTTTTCACTAGTAAAAGAGAATGAAAGGCTATTCTTGATCCACTGTTTAAGTAATTTTTAATAATACATTTATGGCATTTCATCTGTCATGAACTTGTGGTAAATATTATTCAATAAACTTAAAGATATTTGTCTCTAATGTAGTTGTATATTAACAAAGAAATACTTATTCTTTGAAGCAGATACATGTAGGAGTAAGTGACAGATTTTTTTAAAAAGGAAAGCTCATTTCCAATTTACATCAGCAATTAAGAAATATTTTTACTTACCATTTTTTAATTAATTTTATATTTCCTTTCAATTGCCATCACATTTTGTGGAAAAAAAAAATCATTAATATAAATGGGGCAGAGATAACACTTTGTGTAGCAAGAAATCAAATCCTGGAAAATTTCTGCTACAGAAGTCTTCAGTGCCAAATTTGAGGATACAAGTCAGCAAATGCAGTAAAAAAAAAAAGGAAAAAGGCAAGTAAAAAAAAAAATTGAAGACACAGACCTAAAAGAGTTTTCAGACCTAATAAGAAAAAGTAAGATTCAAAACAAGTTAACAAAATATAATCCAAAAAAAACACAAAATAGCTTACTCACATGAAATTACAGACTTCCACACTTTTTCCTAAAAACTGTCAAAAACCAGCTTATTTCATTACTTCATACTTTGTGAAATAATAATAAAGACTTCGTGATTAATAATGCTTTCAGATGCAAGACTATTTTGGCTTTTTTTTTTTCTGAGAGGATACCTCAATGTTGAAAAGATTCCCTTAATTGTCTGCAAATTGGGACAATTCCTTTTCTCTTTTCTACAGTTCATTGAATGCTCTTAATGTTTCTCAGAACCTCAGAAATAAGTTTGTTGTGTATAACCATATGTGTATATGGTTATATGTGTGAGGTTTCTCAGAGACCTTTGAAAGTGACTGACAGCAAGCTCATAGCAGTGGTACTCTAAAGGTTAGGTATTTCTGATTATTAATGATAAGCTTTACAGGATATGAGCAAAGTATCCTTTTTGAAGAATAAGATTGTCAAAACAATTTATTATATAAACTTCATTCTAACTTTGATTAATGTCAGTAAAAATCTAATAGGTACTGGTTTTCAGCTTTCTTCGAAAGATAATTTCACTCTAATGTTCAAGATGATAGTTTCATTTTCTACCTAAGCATGGTTTGCACATGGTTCATGGCTTTTTAAGGATATTTTATTGATGCAGAGTGGGAAACTTGTATCCATTTTCACAGCCATTATCAAGTGTCTGACTTTTCCAAGGGTGTTTCTCATAAAGGTAAACAAAACCAGAAGTAGTCACACATACTTTTCTTATTGTTATTAGCTATCAAATTTGCCGTAACAGTTTCAGACTGGGAGGAAAAAAAGCCACTGGAGAAGGCTTACTTGTTAGTAAGCAATTTAATGCATACATGGTAAGACAGAGGCTCCCCATCTTTCCAAAGGAACATRGAATGCAGGTTAGTGAAGAGCAGTGTACTTCATGGCTCCATCTGTACAGATGAATTAAATGTAACCCTTAAATGTACCCAGAACTATTCTCTAATGCTGGTTGAACCGGCTGCTTAGAGTGTGTCCAGGTGTTGTCCTAGAGACTGCAGTGGCCCAGTCTGGAATAGGAACCATCCTCACAGCCTGAAAATGCCCACAGATGATTTTGTTATTTTTGTATATGGCCTGTGTATCCTCTCACTGTCTTATGAGTATGAAGGATCAGCAAAATTATATGAGTCAAGRTAATAAAGAGATATCCTTAAGCAGAATAAGTGCTTGAAGGATTTTTGTTTTAATTTGTTTATATCCATCTCTAATGGTCTAGAAGCACTTTTTGACAGAAAAGTCAAAATACCATATGTGTTCATGTGATGTAAAATAGGGATACCTACCATTCTGTGGGTGTATACACATACCTATATGTATATTTGTGTGCACCTCTTTAGCTTCTGAGGTCTGTTCCCAAAATGCCTCTCAATGAGAATACTGTGGCAGCACTGAAGTCTCATTCTATGCAGTGAATCACCCTTGTTACTAGTATAGGTAAGTGGTCAAAGTGTCTGTTTAACAAGAATCTTCTTTCTTCTGAGGCTTGAGACACTACCTTGTGATATGAGTGAATTATGGATCAGCATACCAAGTAAACTTACTCTGCTTTTTTTTAGTATTACTTATTTTCTTTGCTTCCCCAGTCACTTAGCCAGATCCCAGGTTGAAGATCCATTGCTCTGTTATACACTTCTTTCTTTTGCTGTGCCAAGATAATTAAATTATCAGTTATTCTTTAGAATTAGACCAACACCTGGCTCCTGAGTATTTTTCAGCTAGCACAGCTTGAAACAGAACTCAGATTTTCACGCTCTTGCATCCGTTTCTTTACAAATATAACACATTGTATAATAACTGTAAAATCACTACTATAAGATACCGTCCTTGACAGCAATGAGAGATAAACTCAATCTTTTACTGATTGTTAGTGAATTTTTTATGCTCATTTAGCTATCATGATGCAGTTTTGTTCTTGACATTCTTCGTTTTCCTTTTGCATCCCTTTCTTTCATTTCTCAACTATCCCTGTTGCTTTTGGAATGATGCAATACTTCATTCACATCAATTTCTCATCTACTCCCTCATGGATAAGCCCTTTGGATACAGAAACTCCTCTGCTGAGCTTTTCTACACCCATGTCCAGTTTAAATGATCATCTGAGTTACTACTTTCAGAGATACTTAATTGGCTATTTTAGTGCTTTTTCAGACAGCAGTCTCCACTCTTTCATTTGTCTCCTAGACAAGCGCTTTTATTTTACTGTCTCAGAATGGGAGAACAACAGTGAGCAAACAATATTGCCTGCATGTCTGAGTCACATTCTCATTCAACTGATCCATTTTTAGAAAAGTTGTGACTAAGGCAGCTAAAAACATTGCCAGAAGCACAGTATTCAGTTACAGAAAATGTAACTTCTCTGAAAAATGCAGGGTCTTGTTTTTAAGAAAGCAAGCATTAAAAGATTTTAGTTTTACAGTATTAGGGGTGATTCATCCATCACTGAATTAATTTGGAGAGGTCTGAGAAGACAATTTTTTTTCCTGACAAGCTTTGTTACACTTAATAAAGTATTTGCAAGAAAAAGATACACAGTAAAAGAATGACTGAATATAGCAAAGGTATGTTAAAATGTATATGCCCATCTTTGACGAGAAGCGCCGGGAGACAGCACACAGACCACCACAGAATGATAGGCTGAACTCAACTTTATTACATCAGAACACGCCTTTTATAACTGTGATAATGAACCTCATGAATATTACAAAATCACAACTTCTCATTGGAGAACATTCAAACAGCGTCACTAACTTCCTTATAAGGCAGGGGTATTGCAATCAGTCGCAGGTGTTGCATCAGCCATGTGTCCGTTGCTATATGATCTAATGGAGAGGGGGCAGGAGCTGCTCGATGTTACATCAGCTCTACTGTGGTTGGCTGCTGGTTCTGTAGCTAGGCAGCTTCATGCTGCCTACGTGACCCTTGTCACGAAGCCATGCCATGGATATTCCCCACATCTCCCCCGTTTTCTTTAGGCAACGATAAATTTGCTTGAAAGGCCCGATGCAACAGCCGATTCAACATCCCTTATAAACAAATCAAGAAACAAGGTCCAAAGAGCAAAACTGACAGATACTAACACATTGCTTAACAATGTGTTTTACAACACAGTAATTTGAAACAATACAGAAATAATTGTCTTAGCTCCACAAGGCTKTTATACCTTCTGCATAGTTATCAAAATTGTGATGTGATCACTAAGTGATAAATATGACATGAAGGGGTACAATATCAGTGGTAGAAAGAATCCATCTGGCCTAGCATTCGAGATTTAGGACCCGAAGGCCACTATGGCCAGCAAAACTTCACTGCACCCAAACAAAACAGAAAAAGCGCATGTATGTTGTTATGGAATAAGCAGTAATTCCGGTTATACTAGATAGAATTGCTTCACTGTGTGAAATAAACAGAGGTACAAATGCTTTGTAGGATACCATTAAGACATAAAATGACAAAATAAATACCAAAACTCTTATCAGTGTGAAAGAGTAATTGGGTTATTATATAAGCTAGAGTCTGGCAAAAAGGGGGCCTCAAAAAGGTCAGAAGTTCTACAATTAAGTGCCTTTTCAGATTCCCAATTAGACAAGAGACACCACGCTTTCGATACCAGGAGGATGGCTTCGACCTGGACTTGACCTATATTTATCCAAACACAATTGCTATGGGCTTTCCTGCAGAGAGGCTTGAAGGAGTGTACCGGAACAATATCGATGATKTAGTAAGGTTTTTGGATTCAAAGCATAAAAACCATTACAAGATATACACTCTATGTGCTGAAAGACATTATGACACTGCCTTTCTGCAGGATTAGATTCATCACTGGCCATCACAACACCATTTTTGTCTAGTGTCATGGGACCATTTCCATTTTCCTTAGAACTGACCAAACTTAGCATTGCCTTCCTTCAGAATGTCATCACTTAGTAACCCTCTTGACATTAATACAACGAAGACAATCAACCAACTTTTTCCCATCCCTGTTATCCTATAGTGATCAAAGAAGCAAAAGGAACAAGCAAAATAGCATCAATGAACTCCAAAACAGTAACTGTAACAAGGTTA